TCACATCGACAACAGACAGTATCAACAATGCCGTAGTTAGGAAGAGATGAAGACTGTACTGCACATTAATCTCGTTTAATGCGCTCTATTGCTAGCAAATAAAATTATAGGGATCGCGCCGAATGCCGAACTCAATGCTGCTGTTTGCAGGCGGTAAGCAATGCCAACCGCAATCGTTGCTCTCTCTCTCTCTCTCTCTCTCTCTCTCTCTCTCTCTCTCTCTCTCTCTCTCTCTCTCTCTCTCTCATTATAAGTAATATATTGTATATATTAATTTGTATAAGTAATATATTATAAGTAATATATTGTATATATTAATATATTGTATATATATCTCTCATTATAAGTAATATATTATAGACTTCTCATTCGCTTCCGCTTGATCTCTTATTAGTACAATATTATTGCATTAACGTATTAATACAGTAATAGTGCAGTAATGCGTAACATCAATCACATGACTTGCTTCACCTCGTAAGACTAATCGCTTGCTCTCTTACATTTTTGCAGCTATATAGTCGCTTATTAATGCAGTCTCTTCGCGTTATGGAGCATCAGCTGTTAGCGAAAAGTGTGCTATATAATTTTTCAGGTCGAGGGATCTAATCAGAGGACACGGCAGGGAAAAGCCAGGAAAAAGCGATAACCATCGCGAAAGTGAGAGAACTAGTTGTTGATTGTACGAATTATAATGCGGAATGTTGTTGAGTCGATTTGTAGTCTGACATTGTGATTTTGTGAGCCAAATTTTGCCAAGTTGATGCGAAGAACACGTATACAAATAGCTAACCATTTTGACAATTAATCGAGCACATTCGGCTGTCAGCTGTCGGCGCGCCATTGCTATAGAACGAAAACCCCGTAAACCGCATACACTCTCATTTATAGTAGCGTCTAAAGAACATGCGAGCGTAGCAAGTTATACAAATGTAAACTTACGCAATAAAGCTGCGAGGGTAAATAATAATAATAATAATGATATCGGCGTTCACGTGTATTATTCCGAACAAGAGCTGTAGACATGGCAGAGATGAGCGTAGTGACAATTAAAAATTTAACAAATAAATAATAGTAGTTACGCGGGAATCGGAAAAAATGAAGGTAGACAGGACTGAACCAATGTACGCCGGGAGCTGGTCAAAAGCGAAAAACGCTCTTGTCGCGTTCACGCTTGACTGTGGTTTGATATTCGCAGCGAGAACACTTTTTTATCAGTTGGAACGTTTTAAGCTTTTTTTCTTCTCTTTTATTTCGATGCCAGACTGCTACTGCTCGTTCGGTTAACCAAACACTGAGAGTCGCCCAGCTTGTTCGTCGAAATTACCCACCCCAGAGAAAAGAGAGCCTGCCAAACGTTCCATTCATTCCCATACCTGAACCGACCATCGCAGATCGTTGGCATCGAAATACTCATTGCTTGTGCAAACAGAAAGTGTCCAAAAGCGATTTACCCATCCTTCCCGGCTATCTTTCTCTTGATCCGAGCCCTTTCCCACGCGCTCTCTCTCACCTCTCTCTCTCTCTCTTTCTCTCTCTCTCTCTCACTCTCTCTCTCCCTACTTCTCATTCCCCATTCGCTTCCGCTTGATCTCTTTTAATCTAGGCTTTTTTCCGCCTGTGCCTCAACTCGTAGCTTGCCTACTACCGCCACACCACTACGCGTCGAATGTTTTAAAAACTATGCAGATTTATTTGCCATGAATATTGCGGCCGAACAATAACAGCACGAACTAAATTATTATAATCTTTCAATTACAATAATTTACTCGGAATTGACACCACCTAATGAGCAGTGCATGATCTTGATACTATCTTAGAATTATATAATCGGTTCATATAATAATAATACAATAATATGCAAAGATAAAATATTAATAACAATGTGGAGACATGCCTGGCAAATAAATATTACATTATGCAATGAAATAACAATAAAATAAAGCAATTTAGCAATGTTCTCTTAAAATATAATATCATTAACGCAAATGCATAACATGAAATAAAATTGGCTATTTAACAACAATACAATAACTCAATACTAAATAACGCAATATAAAAGAAGTTTGAAAATTTATTTTCTACCTATTAACCATTACATTATCATCATCATTGAATTTAAAAGTTTCATTGAGGAAACGCTGAAAAAAACGGTGTTTTAAAAGTATCTACTAAGAGCTTTAAGCTGATACCACAAGAGATAGTACGTATTCCACAGCTGCATAGTCCGAATACTTGACATAAGTTCTAAAACTATAAGAATAGGTAGTAATAATAAGAACAACGTATCAAAGCAATTTTAATAGAATATTGCACAAAAGAAAATCGAGAGAGACAAAAAAGAAAAAGAAAAGCCTAACATTTCAGAACGTAAGGGACCGAAGTCGAGGTAGAATTAAGTAGAAAAGAAGAAAGAAAGCGAAGGATAGAGAAGCAGGTCACAGGTGGGAACAGTCCATTAACTGACGGGCAGGAGAGAAAGCAGGAAAGGTATATTGTCATATATATTTATGAAGCGCGAATTTCGGCGAACGAGTTAGGGATTATCTTCGAAAAATAACTTGCATAAATAATTTCTCTGGGTGTCTACTTATGTTCGGGGCTCACATTGATTCTCAAGCATGCTAACAGCTGCTCGTGAAACCCAGGCCCATTCAAGTTGCTCTATCTTCAACGATCAATTGGCACTAGCATAGCCGTACACGTAACAATAAACAGATTGAACAATAAACAGATTGAAAACAGAGTGTAAAGAGATGGCCAGTCGATCCCAAATCCGCGACTCAACGAGCGCCAATTATGTAAGCATCAGCGCCGCGTGGTCGCCGAGAGCTGCTACCACTACCAGGCCGCTCCCCGCGGACCTTATTCCCGTGACTGCATTCATTATTAAGAAGCTCACTGTCCAGCTTCCCTGGTCAACTCTCTCGCCCGTGCGACGCTCACAGTAAGCGCGTGGATGACCCTCCTCCTCTCGCGCAATTCTCTATGCTTATTGCAATATGTACGAGGGTGGGTCAATAAGTCCTTAGAAATAGATAGAAAAACAATTTTATTTAGGTAAATTTTCTTTATTTTTTATCATAATCTCCTTTTAATTCGATACACTTTTCTAGGCGTCCTTCAAGTTTTCTCAAGCTATCAGAAAAAAATTATTTTTGAAGTTCCTGAAAATAGCCTTTTGTTCGTCTATGTTATGATTTCCTCGTTGGAGATGAATCACTGTTCGGCAAGCCACTTTTTTAGGTTTGAGAATAAAAATAGTCACAGGGGAATCTGGTTAATACGGTGGATGATCTACTAATTTGAACTTTTGGCCATTGAAACTGCGCAAGTATGCACTCGTATATGGTCTTGATAAAACAGAATTTTTCCTTTGTTCAAATGAGGACGTTTTTTCTTTATTTTCTCGCTTAATCCGTCCAGTAACGATGTATAAAACTTTCCGATTGTCCTTTTTCGTAATAGTCAACGAAGATCCACGTGCATCTCAAAAAACAGTGGCCATAACCTTGCCGGCCGATTTCATTGTCTTCGCCTTCTTTGAAGCTGGTTGTCCTTTTACAATACACTGTTTTAACTGTTCCTTCGTTTTCGAAATGTAGTGGTGTATCCACGTTTCGTCTACAGTTATGAATCGACATAGAAAGTTTGGATTACCGTGGATGCGCGCTAATAGAGCCTCAGCGTCTACCACACGACTGCGTCTCTTCTCGACTGAGAGCAAACGTAGCACCCATTTTGCCGAAATTTTTCTCTTGTCCAATTTCTTATGCAAAATCGAAATGCAACTATTTCGTGCAATTTTATGCTTCAATCATTTAATACCATGTCATGGATTTTATCGATCATTTCCGGGATACTCATGTTTACAGGACGTCCTGAACGATGTTTGCACTCGATGAACGGCTACGTTTAAATTCACTTATCCAATTGTAAACAGTCGTAAGCAGAGGCAAATACACTATGAACTGCATTCACCTCAGCTCTAATTTCTTTCGGTATAAAATGGAAACGATAAAAATGGAACCACTTAATAGATCTGGCTGAAACTTTGACAGCACTCTATTTAGAAGTGACGCTTGCTGTTGCAATAAAAATTGTAATGCTTTACGCGTCATCTTCTGAATTTTCTAAGAACTTCTTGACTCACCCTTGTACTTTTAACGACTATATGCCAGCGAATAGCAGCTCGCGACTGCTCTTTCCGACGTGTTACGTGAAAAGCATCGCAGCCTCGATAAATAGCGTGCGTTAATCTGCCCATGTAATGACAAACTTTTCTCGATAATTGCTTGTAGCACATGTTCTCAGCTCGCTTGCGAATGGTGTGCTTTACGAATTTTAACCATTCCGTTTTTACTCGAGACGAAGTTAATATGACGATTGATCAATCTCATCTCCATCTCGTAGAAAAAATATTTCGAATTACAGGTATACCTAATAAGCTTGTAAAATTTACGAGAGTCTCCGTAGCGCACATTTTCTAGTCAGTGCTCGCGGGCTTCAATTCTATTTCACGCTCGAGCAGCTTTTTAAAGGAATTGAGAGCTCATTTTTGCCCTCCATTATCTTTATCTGGCGAATTAGCCAAAGTTTTAGTGCCCAGAATTAACACCGTCACTGCTTCCCGCAAATTTTCCCGCATTCAAGCTTTCGCGACTACAGCTATTTCCGAATAGTCTCGCATTCATACAAATAAATAAAGCTCGCGGATCAACTTGAAGATTGTTTTGTCGGCGTTGAGAGGTTTTTCTGCGAGGTTCGAAATGTTTATTTCGAAATGTTAATTTCGTTGAGACTTTAGTAAAGAGGCTAGGTCAAATAAATTATTTAAATTGTAGAATCGTAAAAAGGTTTCGACCATCGCAAAGGAGTAAGAAGAGCTTTTGGAGTAGTGTTCAAAACCTCCTTCACGTAAACTATATTGCGCTATCCGATAGGACGAGCATTTCCACTTTATTCATTTTAAAACGTTATTGATTTCATTGGTCTGATTTTGGGAAAAATGGTTTACAGCAGATGATTTTTTGGCAATGTCATGCGCAATAATGAAAATTAATGTTTCTAATAAAAACAAGGAAAAAGATAATTGAAGAGCAGAAAAAATGTGACTACAATGAAAGAAGCTACTGGCGTAGCGGTAAGAAAGCTTAGAGGTGTATGAGAGGAAACGACAGAGAAAGGGCTGTATATGTAGGGAGGGCAGCGATGGCGCAATAAGAGTACACGCATACACACTGCCAATATAAGGAGAAGAAAAAAAGGAAAAGAGAATAGCCAATACGCGCAGCCATAAGAGCCTATAAAAATGTCCGGTGTCTTCGTTCGCTACTGCATGTATTGACTTTGCTCCCAGCCTGTATCGTCGAGTAGATCACTTTTGCAAGCTTACGTTTCTACCGCTACATTCGTGATAAAAATAAGAATGCAATTGATTGTAAATCATACAATTGTAGTATAAGCTTCGCAAATATTTCATTGGCAAACCTTTCCAACTCCGGAGAGCTCCTTGGAGCCTATTCTGCGGACGAGTGCCGGAGGCGCCGGCGGAGGTGACTTGAGCAGTCTCGCTGCATAACCGTTCGGTTGGACGACCAGTTCTGAAGCGTCAGGAGCATTGGCGGAGCTCTCATCACTGGAACGCCGCCGTCGGTGGGGACTGGACAAGTTGAGCTTCTGCGCCGCCCTGAAAAACAACAAACGATTATCAGTTACGATATAATAAAGTCGGTGTTGATTCGAGCGTGCGTTTTCGGCAATTAAACTTAATGACAAACCGGCAGCAAAGTGGAAGCTGCCTAACTTTTAACTGCAGCGTGCGTGACCCCGCCACTATCGCTCATACACTTTTACCTTTACTTTCATTATTTCAAGTCCTTTCCCAGCGGTCATTAGCCGGAGATCTCTCTCTCTCTCTCTCTCTTTCTCTGCCTCTCTTTCTCTGTGTGTGTCTCTCTATCTCTCTATTTCTGTGTGTGTGTGTGTGTGTGTGTGTGTGTGTGTGTGTGTGTGTGTTTCTAGGTGTCTCTCTTTCTCTTTCTATCTTCTCTCTCTCTCTCTCTCTCTCTCTCTCTCTCTCTCTCTCTCTCTCTCTCTCTCTCTCTCTCGCTCTGCTCGACAAGTTTACGGTCTGGAACTTTAACGAAAGCGTCAGCGCATCCGATAAAAGCTGCCTTTGTCCTGTACGTAGTACTTGCAGGCTGCTGCTTTATTTTAGTACTCGACAGCTGTCACTTACATATCTGGACTCGACACTTGTCCAATCAAATTCAGTCGAGGAGAAAAAAGAAAATTGCAGATCTCGCACAGACACGTGAACGCCTAGCTAAACAACTGAGAGCATGCTCTTTGTGTCCCAGCTTATTTCTCTCTCTCTCTCTCTCTCTCTCTCTGTTTTTTTACCTTTTGATCTTTCGAGCTTGACTGCAAAATATTTCCGAGAAAAAAAGGCACGCGAGTTATCCATCAGGGCTATAAAGAAGCGAGCGGCTGCTGCTGTTGGTCTCGAGGGGATTATGCGGTGGCATGTCTGTCTTGGCTCTGAAAAAGCTTGCCTGACTAAAAATCCATAGCTTGAATTATTGAAATGTTCGCGGCTGATATGCCACCGGAGCAAAAGCCCGCAAACATCGTTGTCCCATTCTTGATTAAAAAATCTCTTGATCCCTCTTCGACGACGAAGGCAAATGCTCGATAACACTGTACTTTGTTTTGTAATTACGTAATCTTTTATCGAAATTATCAACGTGGCAGCATGCGAGCTAGATTCAACCAACGAAGAAAACCCTTTCAATGTTTTCACCGGATAGGCATAGTCTCGGGAAATGGAAGGGCGCAGATGCGTCTCGCAATTCAGCAATTTCTCCATCAATCCGAACAAACAGATGTGCTTTTTTGCCCAGGCATGCGTTTAGTTTCTTCGATCCTGTACGTACAGTGTATTCTAATACATATACACACACGCGCGCACACACGCGCGCGTCCACACACACACACACACATCACATATACCGAAGGGACTTGAGACGAACAAGTAAGAGAAAAATAAATGAAAGAAGATCAAAGGAAGAGAAGTTAAACGAACGACGAAAGTACACTATTTCGCGGAGCTGAGCGAATAAGAAAGATCTCCGGGCAAGAATTTAGTGGACGTAAAGGAAACATTTTAAGTGGGCGACTTGTATTGTCCACTTTCATGCCAGCAAGAATGTGTGCAGCAAGCGCATTATAAATCGTGAAAAATAACGTGGGTCGCAGAATGGCCGAATGGGAAGGGGGAAGGAGGATGAGTTGACGCTCGGCACACAAGACAAAAGCAAAAGGCGTCCACACGGTGGCAGGTCTCAGCTGTTTACTACTCACGACCCTGATTGAATAGCACTCGAGCTTTTCTCCATGCGGTATGCCGCTTCACATGTGTATATGCTGTGCTAGCTTGCTTGGGATAAGCCAATACTCTGATATTCATTTTCGGCCGCCATCCTTGCCCTTGTATTCAACTAGGGCTCCCCTCATTCACCGATACACCGCGCAGCAGGCAGTAGCCAAGCTACATCTACCTATATGACAATCTTCGTATACAACTGCACGTATAACGACCCGTTGAGAGAGAAAAATAACTGCGCGCAACACTATTGATCGCAGCGACTACGCGGACGCCTACGCCGGGCAGTTACGGCACAGACTATGATGAAATCTATCGACGAAACAACAGGGCTGCGAGGGTTTGCTGAATGACTGATATGATTCGTCGGATCAAAAGACTTTATCGAATATTCACGCGAGTGCGCGTGTTCAAGTTCGGTTGTCGCGCCCTTACCAAAGTATAGCAAGAATTTTGACGAATATCCGGTGCAAATGAAAGAGCGACAGGACATATATCTGCCAATGCCCACGTACTCTGTCCCTCAAGTATAACGTTTATTGATTTATTTAATCTCGGCCCAGTCATATTCGTCTGAAAGTGCCAATGCACCAAAATATCAGGTGCAATTGCAAGCAACAAATCAATAAATACGTTTGATCGGAGAGTGCACTCGCGTAAGCTGGCTAATTGCATGTTCTAATCAAGCTAATACTAATGCGGCTATTAACTTGACACTGTTGCCTGAAATTGAAGAAAGAGCGTCGTTTGAAAGAACGGCTTAGATTATTCTCACAGCAATAGGTTTTTTTTTTTAAAAAGGCTAAAGGGGAGAGGAAGTAGTCCTTGGAGATACGGGAATCTGAAATCACGTGACGAGAAAGCGTGTAACTCGTTCATGAATTTCCCATTGTATGCGACGCCTTAAGCGAGTCTTCGGGAATAGGAATCAACAGTATATTGCCTTTAGTACATGTGAGACTGATTAAGGTTCATTTTTGTAGCTGCTTCTAGCTGAATCGATAGAATATTAATTATTTTTGTCACCTCCGCGATATTATCTACGAAGGTGACACTACAGAACGATCTTCTGCAATACATTGCAGGTCCAAGCAAACATGTATTACTGGAAAGTTAAGAAATAATAACTGCAATCGTTGATAAAAGTAGAGAAAAAGAAGCTTGATATGTTGCCACAGATAATGTTGGATAGTACGTTCCAAAACTTATGAAAAACCCGGTGTGCGTAATATGCGTAGCTCAGAGAATTTATCTTCATGCTACGCTTCGCTTTATTGTTTCGCTAGATCGCAGGCAAGTCACGTACAAATCGATTTAAATGGAAGAAAAGAAAAAGAAACGCACGCCAACGCCGTTTCCCCCCTCTTTGCTTTCTCCTTTGACAACGACGATAGTTTCAAACCAAAAGTCAAAATGTAATACAAGAAAACAACATCATTGCGACGATAAGCGCAAACAAGAGACGCCTAATACTGTCGGGAGCTTGCCAAAGTTAAAAGTTTACCGTAGGAAGCTAAGCATCACGAAGCGCTGGCTGTGGGCAAATAGCATAATATGGCTGTCGGCTGTCATATCGAATCTGCAGCTTAGCGCTGATACGCTCACGTGACATAAGAACGTGAGTTGCCTTACAATCACAACTATTCTATGGAAACCATAAGCGAGAATCGAACCACCTCCAGCTTCTATTCTGCGCTTTTTTACTTTCATGTCAGCTATGCTTTTCGATTTCTGTATTATCCTATGTAGCAAGAAAATGAGAAAATTAATGCAAAAACATGCATCACTCTCGGGCAGCATTCATTTACTTTGCTAATTTTCACTCAATAAAAATATTACTCGACGCTACGATGTACTGTCTGTTGCACGTTACACCATAATGTTTTATCATCTAATGTGGCAAGAAAATGCTTACGCTCAATCATTGTTTGCCTTCAGAGAACGAAACTAGAGTTATGACTAACTTATGACCAAGCGAAGCAAGTGAAAGGTGATTCAGTAGTACAGGTGGACTTGCCGTCAGGCCTAGCTCGACTTTGGCTCTTAAAGTATGCAACCGAGGAGATCGTCGTCACTCGTGAAGAATCAAACAAAACTCATAATGTGAATAATGAAAATGCAAAATTTAGCAATAAGTGATATATGAGAATAAGAGCACATACGGTAAATATAGCGGCAAATATATTTATACGCGATTACGTTGCCATCCCATTGACAACGCGAACGCGATGATCCGATCTTTGGCTGATGTTGACACTGCGCCACAATGCTGCAGACAGCTCTCTACAATTCAATCGACCAAACCTCATACGCCAAACTCTCGCTTGCTTACTCACTGCCCTGTCAATCTCGCATCTTCTTATCTGAATTTCATTATTTTATGTCACATTTGCTATCACTTTTAAGCCTTACGAGACTCGACTTTGTGTCCGGATTCTCTTATTATCATTTTCCATAATTACTTCATCGCACAATTTTCCGCTAGTATATTTTTGTTAGCAGGCATGCGAGATATTGAAATTGTTCGCGCAAGGGCTCATGCAATTTATCTGTAGCGAATGACGCGTGCAGAAAACGCATAGCGAAGAGATTTTTCTGTGTGCTAATTTTCGAATCAAAACACGAGATTGATTAAGTTTTAATTACTTTTTTTCAGGAGAGGATGGGGGGAAGATTCGGTTGAAATCGCAAAACAGTTGTCGATGAAATAGCTGATATTGATATAATCAGCAACGTAGAAACATAATTGCCCATACGTGAATTCATTGATTAGCGAACAAGTGTAAAATGTAATTTGCATGCAGTCAAACATTCTAATCGACATTACGACATTATAATGTGAACATTTTAATACTTCGGCGGGCATTTTTATATAGAAAGCCTCATAAAAAAGTATACGTTGAATATTCCATTGGAATGGATGTCACGAACCTTACAATTTTTCCCTGTAGCTCGTTAAAAGCGACTGTACTGAAAGAATCTGATTATTATTGAAGCCGAATGTGCGTGATAATTCGAAGTAATGAAAATAGTTGTAAGGTAGATAAGAAGGAATTTAGTGTGACAAATAGTCTAATAAAAAGGTGTAGACGTAGTATGTTTATCGCGAGGGAGAAAAAGGCGTCTATATATTGTTTTCGTTTTTTTTTCATCATATGTTCTATATAGCGAACGTATAATACACTCGAGACCGGGGAAATATAGGTGGTAAAAAAAACGGCAAGGCACGCAGCAAAGCAGAGGACCAGCGCACGTGCAAAAGAGAAAGAGAGTGTAGAGCAGCGTATAAGCTTGTGCATGTA